GGTTGATTGTGCTTTGAAAGATAACAGCAAAATGATCTGACAGGGCGTCATCAGTTACAAAGACATTGGAAATAGTCACACCCTTCCTGTGACCTCGATAGTTTGGGCTTGGTTAATATGTTGAATTAGACCAAAATTATCAAGAATACCGCACAGCTTTTTTCCCTCTGTTTTGGGGGTGATGAATATGAATGTTGAAGTCACTGACAATTAATAAACAATCATTGTCAATGCATATGAGAGATAAAAGTTCATTAAAGTCAGTAAAGAAGTTTTCTACATATGTAAGGGTTTTGTATAAAATTAGTGTCAAAGTTCGTTTATGGCCTTTTACCTCAATACCCAGATATTCGAAAATGGTGAAATGGCCCAAAAAGATTTTGTTAGAATTTCTGATATCCTTAAATATAGAAGCCATGCCTCCCCTTTTTATATTTTCTATTTTCACTTAAAAAAATGTAATTCTGAGGTGCTGATTCAATTAGTACAGGTGATTCAGTTGCTCCATTTACAACTCCTACATCATAACTACCCATATCATTTGCACACGACTGGCAACCTAGCTGCCATATAAAAAAACCCCTAAAGTAACATTGATGCTCTGAGTGGTTCTTTAATAGATTTTATCTAATGGTAAAATTCTTAAGTCAACATGTTATTTATTATTAGTTACATTTTGAAACTTCTCTTCTGTGTGCTACAAAGACAATCATAATTGCCCTTTTGCCATTATCACTATATACATTTCTCAACCTGAGAATTGAAAGTGAAAGTAATCAATTTTGAGTACAAACAACAGATTGCTCTGTTGTTTGCATGTTAGCAGTTGTATAACTTCTGGTTGCTTATGCCTCTTATCTGTGGAGATTAACTCTCTAAATGTAGGCATGCCTTTCCAAGAAAAAGTCCTCAACGTGAAAATCAATGGACTGATCTTGTGTTTCTTAAAGCAAACACGATAACCATAGATTTCATTGATCCTCTTGAACTGGTGCTGAAAATAAAGAGGAGCCCTACATTCCCCTTTTAGTGCTGTGCACACTGAGCTGGGTTCACAGTGTATTGTCAGTGAGGAAAAAGTCACCTAAGCAATCCCTGTCTTGAATACACTGACAAACACTCACTTTCAGAAAATTTGACACACAGAACTTGTAAGTGAGTTTGTTCTAAAGTTGAAGGACTGTTAGGCACTGTTCAGGTTTGTCACCGCTCTCAACCTGGAGTGTCGGCCAGAACACCACTCAGGCCAGGATTCAGCTCAGGACCAGATGTTAGAATGAGGGGCACCAGATGTTTAATGAAGACACGAGGCAGGATCCTTTAACTGTTCTGTATTCCAAACTGTATCACAGATATTGATCCAATGAACATGGATGGGCATAAATGTGTGTCTACATGAAGGTGTGTGTGGTTTCCTAGAATACACAAAAATACAGAAAACAAGTTCAAGGTATCCTATCAATACACACTACACCATGACATTATACCTTAGATCAGGCGTGCCCAATACGTCGATTGCAATTGACCGGTCGATCGCGGAAGGTTTTGAGTCGATCTCGGCAGATGACAATCTGAACGCCACCAGGACGCTGAGAGCAGCACTTCCTCTTCTGACGGGCTTATCAAAAATATTCACTAAGATCCTAAACGTTTGTAGCTTCATTAAAAAATAATAATTATAAAAAAATCAACGAAACGTGTTAAAATTAATAATCTGAGTAATTATTGTTTGAACAAGGTGTTGCGCAATTCAGTGTGTTTCGGTCCCATTAAAAAAAAGAAAAAAAGACAAAAACAAAAAGGCGACTCAAAGACCGACTGACGAGCAGAGCAGGAGTTTAAATTAGCTACTCAACCACCGCTGTGTTCATGAGAGGCTTATTAACAATCAAGAAATAAATATCAAGCCTGGAAACCTGACATCGTAACAGACTGAATGTTGTGTTTTTAATGTAATCTTTGTTCGGCTTGTGGTGCGCAGGCGGTTGCCACGGCAACGGGTGTGCTTAAACGTCAAAGAGACGGAGAGTAAAAAGGTAGGAGTGGTTTTGAGTTGATCGTCTGTTCGGGTTGTTTTACCTTTGCTGTGGCTCATCACACCTGCTGTAGTTTCTGAACATTCAATAAACGACAAACTTGGACTAATTACCTCATTCGTATGTGAATATAGGTCACAACAAACATCAAATAGGACAAATATATTTCATTAAGTTTTAACTAATTCTACCGTGATAATTATGTGAAATTAAATTAATTATATCCCGACTTCAGAAGATTTGCCTTTAGCTTTGCTGGGCTCTTTGGTTAGTTTCTCATATTTCAGTCATCAAACCAAAGTTCAGATCCACCATGACTGACTGACACCTGCTGGTTTGCAACCAGCTTCTGATTGAGAAACCAGTAACCTGCTTCCAGTGTCAGAATGTCACTGAGGAAGGAACTGCATTAGGTTTTCTGTCACTTTATTATTTCTGCTGATGCATATTCGCATATAAAATAAGTCAATAGAGTTTAATTTGCAATTTTTATGTCTTTGTGTCATGAGGTAGATCTCAGGCGGCTGGTGAGAGAAAAAGTAGATCTTGGTCTCAAAAACTTTGGGCACCCCTGCCTTAGATAAACTAAGAAGTCTAAATCAATATTACTAAGCAAACTAAGGCAAGTTAACTCCACAGTTAACTAATAACCATGCCTCTGCTCCACTGAGAATAGATATGTATGTTCAACACAATGCTGTATAATACACGCATAGCAAATAGCTCGGACTTAGCAACAGGTGAAATAATAGCAAACAAATAAACTTCAAATCAGTCATTTAGCTGTAGTAAACACTCAAATATTGCAACTTACTCATCAATGACGCACACTTATAAGGAGAACACACATATCTTGCAAGTCTTTTCCACGTGTTAGCACAGTGGTTCGGTTACCCAACTTCCCCACCAGATATCAGCAACGTTGGCTACCACAGACATAATATAAGAGTAGACCTCGCATTGGCTGCAGCCATCTTGGAGCGGTCGTGCCTCCTACTTTGCTCAACCAAAACAGCAGAAGATGCCTCAGCACTGCGGGATATTGTGGTTCGGATCTATGGACTAATGATGTGTGAGGGCTCGATAAACAACATTTCACAAGTAAGATGGACATATTATTGCGTATATTTTGTGATTCAAATATTACTTTACTGTATTTATGTCCATCGGTGAGATACCAGCTAATATTAGCTATAGTGCTTGGTGTAATACCGGGTTCAGCCCCGCTATTTTAAGAACGGAAATACTATTTAAGGAGTTGTTTTTGTGAAAGGATTTTGTCTCAGCCCTAGGTCAACCTGACCGACTCCTTTCCTTCCATTTGCATGCAAAGCGCAAATGGAGCCAGAATTTACTGGAAAGGATGTCTGTTTGTGCAAGATAAAATCAACAATTTGAGATACATTGTTCTATTCAGCAATTCTGAAATGGAGCAGATGTTGAGTTCATGAGGTCCAAAATATTTTAAAGGTCGCCCAATACCCACTCAGTATAAAGCGTGCCAGAATCTTTCTGGTAAACAACAGTAGCACGCCATTGGTTGAAACTTTCCAACACACACTGATGAAGATGAGAAGGTATAAAAAAGGTTGATGTTAAGACTTCGGGGAGATTTTTTGTGTTGAGACTATGGAAGATTTTTGAGTATTGAACTGATGAAACTGTAATGGGGAATCTGTGGTAGTGTAATAAATCTCCGGCTCGTCTATGGCCTAGCAGCAAGAACTACGTCTCCGTGCATTATTTCTTTCACTTATTTATTTAAGAGAATTGAAGCCGCCCTTCAATTCTCTAACAAAAGTGGTGACCCCGAACGTTTGATTGAACAATTGAAGAACCAGGAGAAGAAGGGTGACTCGCTTCAGCTTGACTGCGGACGGGAGGCCGTCTGGGCCCACTCACAGAAAAGAGGTCAGATTTTTATCCCTTTTACTTGTTAAACACAGAACGGTTTCCTGTCTGCTGGCGGTCTGAAGCGCCAGCAGACCGCCA